CATGATGACACCTGATGAAAGTTGACCCACCTGATGAAAGTTAACCCACCTGATTAAAGTTAACCCACCTGATGAAAGTTAACCCACCTGATGAAAGTTAACCCACCTGATGAAAGTTGACCCACCTGATGAAAGTTAACCCACCTGATGAAAGTTAACCCACCTGATGAAAGTTAACCCACCTGATGAAAGTTAACCCACCTGATGAAAGTTAACCCACCTGATGAAAGTTAACCCACCTGATGAAAGTTAACCCACCTGTCTCTGTCTGCAGGGATCTTTGGAAGTTGAGGGCAGAGTTTTCTCGTGTCTCCTCCTCTCTCCTCTCCGGCTGTGACTCTGTCTCCTCCTCCCTGAGGCTCAGAGCTCCTCCCCTTCCTCCTCTTCCTCCCCCTCTCTCCTCCACCCTGCTCCTGCCTCACCCCTCTTCCTCACCCTCTCCTCCTCTCATCTCCTCCTCCACCCTGGGAAGCTTCTCCTTAGGGGAGCTGGAGGACAGAGAGGAGGTAAAGGAGGAGCAGAGGAGGAGTGAGGAGTTGAAGCTTCTTCACGAGTCAGCGGTTTCTCAGCTGACTCGACGGTATGTTTATCTATCAGGTGTTTGGATGTATTACGTGTTGACTGTGGAATAACACTTCTCTGTGTCCGTCCCCTCTGTGCACCTCCTCATGATACCTGTCTGTCTCTCAGCATCGCAGAGCTGTCTGTCTGTCTGCAGGCGGAGGAGGCGCAGAGGGAGGAGAGAGAGAAGGAGGTGCAGAGCTTCACTCAGGCTGTGGTCAAACTGGTGAGGCTCAGAGGAAACGGCTCACTTCTCAGATCTTCTTTTTCATTTCTCAGACTTTACATTTTACTCAGAATGTTGTATTTTTCCCGGATTTGACATTTGTATTAGAATTTACTTATTTTCTCAGATTTCTGACTTTTTTCTCATAATAAAGTGATATTCAGTACCGTGTGTGTGTGTGTGTGTGTGTGTGTGTGTGTGTGTGTGTTTCAGTCCAGGGTCCTGAGCAGCAGCAGTGTGTGTGTCTCTACAGACGTGTCCTCGCTGCTGTCCGTCCTCTTGCTCACAGAGAGCGCCATGCAGAGGACGAACCAGGAACTGCAGGTCAGATACTACATCATATATAACTTCAATATTCAGTGTGTGACAGAGGTAGAACAACTAAAGTGTGTGTGTGTCAGGGTGGGATTTTCATGGTGGCCATGACGGCCATGGCCGTCGTAGCCCCTCGGTCTGGCCGTTATGCCCCACAAATAATTGTACGTCCTACGGCCACCATGGCCTGTGGGCCCCTAGCTCTGTTAAAAGTTGTGTTTTCTGAACTGCATTATGCTGCGTTCACAACGGACGCGATGCGAATATTCTCATCGCTCTAACCGCTGGAGTTTCACCGCGGCTGCCAGCTGTGTTTACTCCTGTGATTCAAACAGGACGCGCTGGAGAGGGG